ATTTCTGTGTGTGTTGTACGTGTGAGAGAGAGAGCCCCTTTTGTATTTTTTCCATTTATTGATTGGTAAATCAATTTTGCACTCCTGATATTCTAGAGTCACCCCTTGATTGCTGCGCACTTTTTTTCTGACTAGTGGATGATTTGTAGTTTGTACCACCAAAAGATTCACTGAGTTTTTTACATTTTTTCGTATTTCCCATTCATTTCCTATGTCGGTCATTTTTGACCGCGAAGAAGTCAAGTGTGACTATTTTTTTTTTTTTACCCTTTAACATATCCGAATCATGTCCATGATTTGTTTGTGTGTTCATATTGCTAATGTGACAAAAGTCACCAAGTGTCATCTCATTCCGATGAAGCTACGATTTTTAAAAATTCAAAATATAAATTTTTTAAAAATGACCAAAGAGGGCCAGAGGGTTAAATGCATTCTGGGCTTCCAATCTCCATTATTCCCATGGTCTGATGAACCATGAGATGAACCAGCTGTGGATGACTAGATGCGTCACAGGAAGACTGTATGGGGTCAAGCACAAGCCTCTCCAAATAGCCAAACGTCGCCAAAAGGTCCAAACCCTGATTACCAACCTGAACAATGGGTCTGGCTATCTACCCGAAATTTTCATCTCCACCTGCCATGCAAAAAGTTAAGTCCAAGGTATGTTGGTCCAATCAAAATTGTGAGACACATTACTCCAGTTTCCTATAGATTTCAGATAGATAGAATAATTTAGTATGTTTCCTTGCTCAAACCTGGTGGTAGCTCGAGGAGGGGTGATGAGACCAAAGATCACTTTTCATTGTGGTGGAGATTCACAGAACGGCAGGTATTTGGAAATCTAAGCAATTCTTTCCGCTCGCCATTCCCAAGTAAAGGATTTCAATGTTGACTGGTGTTCTAGTGGTACCCAATCCTGGTCCTGGAGAACCCCCAACACTGCACTGTACACAGCTGAATGTTTCAGATCTCCACCTTGTAAATGCCACCTAATTAATGTCATTAACATATAATAGAGCAGTGTTTCCCAATCCTGGTATTGGAATACACCCAACACTGCACATTTTTTGATGGCTGTCTTATCTAACACACACATTTGAGATCTTGGTGTCTTTATTAATGAGCTGATGAGTTGAATCAGGTGTGTTTGTTTACACAGTACAGTGTTGAGGGTACTCCAGGACGAGGACTGGGAATCACTGCTCTATTATACAACCCCAAACCACAAAAAGTTGATATCTTTTGTAAAATGCAATGAAATAAAGAACAAATTTTGATTTTGATGGCTGCAACACACTCCAAAAAAGTTGGGACAGAGAGACAATAAAAGTGAAAAGGTTACGGAATATCCAAATTAAACTGTTTTAAAACAGTCCACAATAAGCAGGTGAACTGGAAATAGGTTAGAGTATCGTGATTGAGTATAAAAAAAAACATCTCAGTCTTTGCAAGTAAAGCTGGATCATGGCTCATCACTTTGTGCCAAATTTCATGAGAAGTGTCAAACAAATCAAAAATCACATTTCTCAAGGCAAAATCACAAAGACTTTAGGTCTTTCACCAATTACCATACATAATATTGTGAAAAGATTCAGGGAATCCAGAGAAATCACAGTCTGTGTAGGGCAAGGCAGGAAACCTCAGGTGAATGTGTGTGACCTTTGAGCCCTCAGATGGCATTGCATAAGAAACCGTCATGCTGCGGTGTTAAATATAGCCACATCGGCTCAGGAGCACTTCAGAAAACCGCTGTCACTTAACATAGTCTGCCGCTGCATCAATAAATGTAACTTGAATCTGTGTTACTCAAGGAAAAAGCTATTCGTCAATTCTATGCAGTGATGCCATGGGGCTCTCTGGGCCAGAGCTCATCTCAGACAATCAAAAAGAGTGGAAATGTGTGCTGTGGTCAGATGAGTCCACATTTTCATTTGTTTCTGGGAAAAAGGAACATCGAGTTCTCAGTCACAAAGACCAAAGGGACCATCCAGACTTTCATCAGTGACAGATGCAAAAGCAAACGTCATGGTACTGGGGTGCAGCAGAGCAAACGGCATGGGTGACTGGCATATGTGCAAAGGTACCACTGACATGGAGGCATATATTGAAATTGTACAGAGACATATACTACCATCAAGATGATGTCTTTCATGGGAAGTCCATGGTTATTAGATCAAGACAGTGGGTGTGGATCAAAATGGATGCAGGGATTAATTCAGGAGATCACAGGATTTGTGTTCTACAAAGTAGTGCATCGCCATGTTGATCTGTTGACAGCAAAAGGAGGTGCTGCATTCTGAAACTGTCTCTCAAGCACTACCTCAATCTAGCATGGGTGCTCAACCTCAGGATACTGATGTGGGGTCAGTGGATTGTGATACTACATTTAAAAAAACACTCAGTACACCGACAATACTTGAGTTGACAGAGTTCTCAAGCTGGATGTCTAATACATTCCTCAAGAGCAAGGAAGCCAACAGAATATCTCAAATATTTTGTGAAATAAACATTGAGTAACAAAAAGAACATTAGTTCAAGGATTAGTAACATTGATTGATCCAGATGGTGGATCAGCACCTAGAGATGACCTCTACAATCTTGAATGTCAGCGGAGATCATGTCAACTAGCAAAACCCTAGAGACAGATCCCCTGTGAAGACCTCATCACCTTGATGAAACCGACTGAGCATGGTTTCTCCCAAGGTTTTTTTCTCCATTTTTGTCACCAATGGAGTTTTGGTTCCTTTGGCTTGCTTAGTTGGGGACGCTTGACTGATTGCACAGACACTATTGGAAGAGAGCTGAACTGGATGATGACATCACTGAATCATCAATGAACTGACTTTAGCTGAAAAATGACTCTGTTATTGCCCTCTTGCATTATTGACTAACTATTTTCCTGTTTTGACACTTTAAAGCTGCTTTGACAATCAGTATTGTAAAAAGCTCTATACAAATAAAGGTGACTTGACTTGATTGAAATGCTAAAACAAGTACAATTATTCAACTTTTGAGTAATAAGAGTACAGTTTGAACTCTCAGTAAGCTGTTTTCCCCAAGAAGTATTTACTATATATTTTCTTGTGAAAGAATTGAAGGGAATCACTAAAGTGGGGGGATGTTGCAGGTGTATTGTAAAACCAAGAGTGCCCAATAGATGTCAGTGATGCATAGAGGTGAGCAGTTCTGCAGCACTGTTGTAGGCAGAGAAAAGCTAAATTGCAGTGTATGGCACTTGTGTATGTATGTTGATTGCTGCTAAGAGGTGTCATTATTAAAAACACCAAGACCTAGACTGTTTCTTGAGCTTTTCTTAGTATATAAGATATTACAAATTTCTCTGAATGCAATGGTTAAACTTTTTGAATTTTGCTTAAGTAAATATACACTGCTGTTCAAAAGTTTGGGATCAGTAAGATTTTTAATGTTTTAAAGAAGTCTATTCTGTTCATCAAGGCTGCATTTATTTGGCCAAAAACACAGAAAAAAAAACTAATATTGCAAAATATTATTACCATTTAAAATATTGGTTTTCTAAGTTATTTCTGCATGCAAAGCTGATTTTTCATCATCATTACTCCAGTCTTCAGTGTCACAAAAGATTTCTATTTTGAATAAATGCTGTTCTTTTTAACTTTTTATTCATCAAATAATCCTGAAAAAAGTATCACGTTCCAAAAATATTAAGCAGCACAACTGTTTCCAATATTGATTATAAATCAGCATATTAGAATGATTTCTGAAGGATCATGCGACACTGAAGACTGGAGTAATGATGCTGAAACTTCAGCTTTGATCACAGGAATAAATTAATATTTTAAAGCATATTAAAATAGAAAACCATTATTTTAAATTGCAATATTATTTTTCTGTTTTCTTCTTCTTCTGTATTTCTGATCAAATAAATGCAGCCATGAGGAGCAGAAGAGACTTGGAAGGGGGATTTTAGAAAATATGCTTAGGGCCCCCAAAATGCTAGGACCGGCCCTGAAAGTATGGCCCATTTCAGGGGTGGTCAAAATTGAAAATCAGTCAATGCTACAGAAATTTACAGGTAAAGCTTCATGAGTAGGCTACTTTCTATGACCCCCCTAATTCTCACCATGAAATTTATAGATTTTTTACTGTTATTTATAAAAAGGCGTTAGAGCTTCAGACGCTGATTGAAGTGACTAATCATGAAAAGAAAAATGAACCACCCCTCCACTAGACTGAAGAGGGCCCTCTCTGGGAGGTTAGTTTTTGATTGCTTGCATGCCTAAAGGTAAGGTATCTTTTACAGTAGCATTATAACTTTAAATGGCTTATATGATATGTCAAGCTTGGAACTGTTCGGCATTCAAAACAACCCAACCTTATTGGTCATCATCACAATTTTGATGTACTGTTAGGTGTCAGCCTTATTTACATAAAGTTTGATGTTAACTAGCATACTAGTTATTCCAAATTCCACTTGTATACTTTAATGTTACTCATGTTATGGCTATGGACTATAGGTTTAACAATATAATTTTGCAGACAATTACAACATAATTTGGGCTACTTATACCAAAGTGCCAACTTAACAATAGCCCCTGATGGTTCCATTTTCTTTATGCTAGGACAATATCAGCAAGGCTAATACAGTCATAACCACAATGTAAACAATTTGCTTTTGAAGTCACGAGACAATGTATAGATTTAGCTAAAATTGAGTTACTTACATAGTTAAACTGAATGCTTGCTACAGTAGCCTAATTATGTTGCTTAAAAAGGGGGAAATGCCAAGCTGACAATGACAGAAGCTGAAATTAAATTACCTTATTTATTTTAGTTGGAGTGGTTGTGAAATCAATTTATTGACATCATATCTAAGCCCTGTAATTTAATTGACCAATCAGCAGTTGCAACAGCTGTGCAATGATCACACTACTTTATACTAGCTAAAATTGGCTTACTGCAACAAAATTATGACCATCAAATACAAACATTTGTCTGTTAAATATATTACAACAAAGCTGAGTTTCATACAGTAAACTTTATTAACATACAAAAGAGCACAGTCAGTTACCTCATAAGAGCAAAAGGTTTCTCTGTATAAGAATTATACAGTGAACACTGAGCCAAAGCCTATAGAAATGTGAGATAACAGAGCAATTATTGTTTTACTGACACTGAAGTGAGAATGCTGGTGTATCAACACGTTTCTAAACCAAAAAGCATTTAGAACAAGACTTTTGAAAATATATTCACAAAGATTTCCCAAAATAGTAAAATATCACAAACATGGCCAACAGTTCTTTTCCTGGGTAACTACAGAAGTTCAGAAAAAAGGTAGCTCAATGACTTAATTAATAATTCTTAATAATTCACTTAAAATGAAGAGGGGGGGGGGGGGGGGGGGGGCTGCATTTATTTGGCCAAAAACACAGAAAAAAAAACTAATATTGCAAAATATTATTACCATTTAAAATATTGGTTTTCTAAGTTATTTCTGCATGCAAAGCTGATTTTTCATCATCATTACTCCAGTCTTCAGTGTCACAAAAGATTTCTATTTTGAATAAATGCTGTTCTTTTTAACTTTTTATTCATCAAATAATCCTGAAAAAAGTATCACGTTCCAAAAATATTAAGCAGCACAACTGTTTCCAATATTGATTATAAATCAGCATATTAGAATGATTTCTGAAGGATCATGCGACACTGAAGACTGGAGTAATGATGCTGAAACTTCAGCTTTGATCACAGGAATAAATTAATATTTTAAAGCATATTAAAATAGAAAACCATTATTTTAAATTGCAATATTATTTTTCTGTTTTCTTCTTCTTCTGTATTTCTGATCAAATAAATGCAGCCATGAGGAGCAGAAGAGACTTGGAAGGGGGATTTTAGAAAATATGCTTAGGGCCCCCAAAATGCTAGGACCGGCCCTGAAAGTATGGCCCATTTCAGGGGTGGTCAAAATTGAAAATCAGTCAATGCTACAGAAATTTACAGGTAAAGCTTCATGAGTAGGCTACTTTCTATGACCCCCCTAATTCTCACCATGAAATTTATAGATTTTTTACTGTTATTTATAAAAAGGCGTTAGAGCTTCAGACGCTGATTGAAGTGACTAATCATGAAAAGAAAAATGAACCACCCCTCCACTAGACTGAAGAGGGCCCTCTCTGGGAGGTTAGTTTTTGATTGCTTGCATGCCTAAAGGTAAGGTATCTTTTACAGTAGCATTATAACTTTAAATGGCTTATATGATATGTCAAGCTTGGAACTGTTCGGCATTCAAAACAACCCAACCTTATTGGTCATCATCACAATTTTGATGTACTGTTAGGTGTCAGCCTTATTTACATAAAGTTTGATGTTAACTAGCATACTAGTTATTCCAAATTCCACTTGTATACTTTAATGTTACTCATGTTATGGCTATGGACTATAGGTTTAACAATATAATTTTGCAGACAATTACAACATAATTTGGGCTACTTATACCAAAGTGCCAACTTAACAATAGCCCCTGATGGTTCCATTTTCTTTATGCTAGGACAATATCAGCAAGGCTAATACAGTCATAACCACAATGTAAACAATTTGCTTTTGAAGTCACGAGACAATGTATAGATTTAGCTAAAATTGAGTTACTTACATAGTTAAACTGAATGCTTGCTACAGTAGCCTAATTATGTTGCTTAAAAAGGGGGAAATGCCAAGCTGACAATGACAGAAGCTGAAATTAAATTACCTTATTTATTTTAGTTGGAGTGGTTGTGAAATCAATTTATTGACATCATATCTAAGCCCTGTAATTTAATTGACCAATCAGCAGTTGCAACAGCTGTGCAATGATCACACTACTTTATACTAGCTAAAATTGGCTTACTGCAACAAAATTATGACCATCAAATACAAACATTTGTCTGTTAAATATATTACAACAAAGCTGAGTTTCATACAGTAAACTTTATTAACATACAAAAGAGCACAGTCAGTTACCTCATAAGAGCAAAAGGTTTCTCTGTATAAGAATTATACAGTGAACACTGAGCCAAAGCCTATAGAAATGTGAGATAACAGAGCAATTATTGTTTTACTGACACTGAAGTGAGAATGCTGGTGTATCAACACGTTTCTAAACCAAAAAGCATTTAGAACAAGACTTTTGAAAATATATTCACAAAGATTTCCCAAAATAGTAAAATATCACAAACATGGCCAACAGTTCTTTTCCTGGGTAACTACAGAAGTTCAGAAAAAAGGTAGCTCAATGACTTAATTAATAATTCTTAATAATTCACTTAAAATGAAGAGGGGGGGGGGGGGGGGGGGGG